ACTGGGAAGACCCCTGGTGGACAGATTTCAGCGCAACACTTGAAAAACCCCTGGTGGAGGGATATCCACACAACACTGGGAAGACCCCTGCTGGGCGGATATCAACACAACACTGGGAAGTCCCCTGGTGGAGGGATATCATACAACACTGGGAAGACCCCTGGTTGACAGATTTTAACACAACACTTGAAAAACCCCTGGTGGGGGATATCAACACAGCACTGGGAAGACCCCTGCTGGGCGGATATCAACACAACACTGGGAAGACCCCTGGTGGAGGGATATCTATAACTAACATTACTGGGAAGATCCCTTGTTTAGGGATATCAACAACAACACTCACTTGTGATGCATCAAATGGACAAAACGTGCATTTGATGGCTCTGGAAACCAGTCTGCCAGCTGGACCACGTGACTAGGGAGATCCTCGTCGTACAGGGTCCTATGTGGTTCATCTTCTGATGGTTTGCGAACTATTAACGCACCATACAGGCCGTCCGCGATCTGCGAGCCAACGTGAGAATGGTAGAAATGGGTCCCAGCTGGGCTGGCTTTAAACGTGTACCTGTATTAGAGTAGACTTCTGCTTAAGTACTACGGCTGTCAATCTCTTTCTCCCCTCTCCCCCCCCCCCCAAAAAAAAAATAAAAATAAATAAATAAATAAATGAATAAAAAAGATAAAGAAAAAGAAAAAAGTTTTCTTACATTTTGATGAAATAAAGACATTTTGGTGGGAAAAGTGCAATAAACGGAGTAAACGGCGTTTTACCCTACTGTCCAATGTTAATGAATTCGTTCTGCCATTTAAATAAAATCCATGTTTCTTTACTTTAAGTTTGATTTTTGTAATAATATCTCAAGTAATTTTTTAAAGATGGAAGCCATCTATGAAGGTCCACGTGGTCCGATGGCAACCACAGATTCCAGAATAATTGCGATAACCGACGTTCATATGATAATTTTTTTTATATGAGTTGTTTACAATGTATTTATTGTGAAATATGAATGTCATACAAAGAGTTGTTATGTCTTTAAAGATGGCATGTTTAAAATATTTGCACTTCATTTGTTGTAAAAGATCGAATAAATATCTGTAGGGGCCAGAAATAGTTTGAAAAAAAAAAATCATATTTAGATATCGGAGTTTCAATGAATCAAGTCGAAAGAGCAAAAACAATCTTTCACTAGTATCAACAGAAACAATTCCAAGATGACCTGTTAGAATTATCCTGCAAACATTCGCTTTGACGGGGTAAACATTGGCCTGCGACACAATTAAATGTCAGTGTTTGGGCATACCATGTCAAGCCAAGAATAATGTACATGTAAGTTGGTAACGTGAGGTTATACATTGTACCCATGCACAAGCCTTCACACTCTTGCTAAGTGAAAACCACATTTGTGTCCAGGCATAAGAATAATAGTCTTACATCTAAAAAAAAAATAACTGGAATGCGCTTGTAATGCTGTTGTGCAAATGAGCAGGTCATATTAAATGACTTGTGTTTGCCTTAAATGTAGCAACTATTTGTCAACTTTAGTATACCTTAGGCCCAATGTGGTATACTTTGTATGCTAAGCACTGACATTTCCTTTTGGCATAACTGATGATTGTAACAAGAGACCTTTTTGTGCAATATTAAGACACCAGAGAGGTTCATGCCTTAAAGCTAGATGGATGTAAGAAAAGAGTGCTCTACTCTGAGTCGGATAATCAATGCATGTTTACTGATCCTAACGCTGATGGATGGGAAATAAAATATGGCAAAAAAAGGAGAAGCTTCCTTACGAAAGGGATTGAAAAGACACAAAAATTAAAAGAATAATGTCTGAGATTCTTATACCAACCCATGCACATGTGCAGAAAACAAATTTAATATTGAGACACAATGATACACGTAGACATTGATTTCTTACAACATTTGGGTGACTTCCTAAAATATGAATGATAGCAGCTGCTGCCACTTTTGCCATATTTTTGCAATAGATTTGAATAAAAATAATGAAAAGGACCTTAAAACAATATACTTCGCAAAAAGGCTATCAACATTACATTTTAGTGTGTCTAACATTCCCGTAGCGTACATGTACCTGAATGTTGTGAACTGTGGAATGGGGCACTGTGTTATCATACTGACTCCGTCCATGTACGGTGTCCCCATCTGGTGGATGCCGTGCCAATGTATCACTGTACTTTCACCGTCCTCAAGTTCATTCTTTACATTCACCACCAAGGTATCACCCTCACAAACCTGGATGACAATCACATATCTTTTGATTAATTTACAATGAACACATCATAAAGCCAATGTACTGACAGGCCCCTAAATATTGATAATTTGGATAACTGATCCTACGTCCTTTTTGTATGATGTGTTGTTAACGCATTTGTTTTCTAAATATGTGAAATACTTTGTCTTACCTCTATCATTGGCCCTGGAATCTGTCTATTGACCGCAATGACAGCTCGCATATGTCCATCAGCGGCGATACAATGGGGGCGGTGGCAGTCCGTCAGGTTGAATGGACAGTCATAGCAAGCCTAGAATGTATCGTAACATTCGGTTTGTACATTTTGGAAGAATTTTTATAAGCAACGAATAATAATAGTGTGTCATTTACTTAGCACAATGAGTTATACGTGGAAAACTGAACTCTCTCTATATATTCATGTTTGTCTCGTTTGTTTAAATCCTCTCTAAATACACGTGTTTGTTTCATTCGTTTTAATCCTCCTATTTTTCCAATCAGAAATCTTGTGTAGAGATATATGTTTTGACCTTATTGAATAATGAAAGTGTTTTCATTAAATGAATAAATGGCTGATCACAATAGACAACAGAATATGTATAATCTTTGGGACCATTCCCACATATATTTGGATCGATCTATCTCCCTTGGGAGTCTCCCTAAATTGCTGTCAATTAACCGATCTAGGCATGGGAACCCAGTCTTTGAATTCAGTCCAAAACGAGGAGAAAAGTTGTCATTAAAAAACATCAAGATTCAGTATCACAGCCATTTTCAATCGCTATGTCGTAAGGTTTGTATTTTAATGCCATATGGCTGTTTTGGGGACTGAGATATCACTGAAACCAAAAATGATACCTCTCCTCTTCAAACGCAGTTCTTGCGTATTACCAGACTGCAGAAAAGGACCTTTAGTAAAAAATGCATCTGTGACGTAAACAAAGTCAATTCTTTAGTCATTGGTGCATGGCGGCAGAGGTATTACTGATAGATGTAAAGGGGAAAAGTATAAATAAAATCATACTTATTTCCGTAAGTATACGAAAATTTCCGATGCCACCTGGAAAATCTACCCTGTGCTGAATGGGGTCACTTAAAAATGGCGTAAAGGGATTCATACCTGTGTATGACGTGGCTTTATGGTAAGACGTCCTTTGCATTGTATGTAAATGTTGGAATTTCCTTCGACCCTGATCTACTCAATTCTAGTCAATTTGAACTTTCTGGTACAATCTCGTAATATTTAAATTTTATTATTCATTCTACCTTGGATAGCGTAAGATACCACTCGACGGTGAAATTGTACTCGCAGGTCTTGTGGACATTTCGCTGACAAACTCGAGCACACTCGTGGCGATCTGTAAAATAATTAAAAATTACGTAAGCCCAAGGTTGTTTAACAGCTCATGGTAGAGGTAAAATGAGTTTTATGAAATGGGCGCCAGTGTGTCCTAAAAAGAGAAAAAACAAAAAGGTCAGAAGAAGGGATATAAACTTAGATCAATTTTGAAACGCATCTTTATTGTGTACATTTTTTGTTTAAAAAAACAAGCTTTCAAAACTCACTCAAAGTGTAATTTTAATGTAAATAAAATGGGACCCCAACGCGAACATAATCATTAAAATAACTTCCATCAAATTCATAAAATTTTATGGCAAAACGGTTGAGGTAGAAATGTCATCCAGTTCAGAATGTAAACCGTTGTAAACTTTTTGAGCGGTTGACGCGTTAATACTGCCGGTTCTTAACAGATTCGTGGTCCAAATAAGTCGCTATGAGAAAATCCAACGCAGACAACAACAACAACCAATTTCAGTCATTTAATGTTCACTCGTTGCTTGCCCCGGTACAATTCTGACGATCTGGGAAATCCCACTCTTTAATCTCAAGCCAAGTCAAAGATTGGATTCTTCAACTTCTTACTCAGATTAACAAACAAGACGGCTTTACTTTTCAGACTTTATTCAACGTGCTAAGTATTACGGAGAAATGCGTTGCGAAAAAACTTCAAACAAAGACGTTACGTGAAGTGACTGCAAATGCTCGTGAATTATTAAATGTCCCCGACAATCAGTAACATCATTTAAAACCTGAATTCACGAGAGTGTGTCACACATTTTGAGCAACAGTATGTATTTAACATAACATGTAACCATATAAAGGGCTTTTGAAAAAATGGTTAATGTACTTACTAAAACTTTGGGATGACCTACAGTTTTTGTAAAGTAGTAGTAGTTTATTTCCGTGTAGGTGTGGCAACATAAACAAGATGCCACTTCAAACACTTTTCTTATGACCCAAAAAGTAAAATCTACATTTTTCTTCACGAATTCAACAAATTTCCACACATGGCAACCCTTTGGTCTATTCATGTAATTATGTAACATGTAATGGAACAGCCCTTCAGATTACATAAACGTTACGTTAAGAAATGACTTACAACTGTAATAAAAACTACTCATATCACATTAAAAAAACCCATTGTTTTCTACGTGACTCAGCTTAATTTACGTCGACTTACCTGCTTGGGTCGCTGAAAAAACGATGACACTAAAAAGCAAGATCATCAAACGCTGCGCCGTAAAGTTTGCACCGTCCATGATGTTCCTAAATACCCTTGTATGAACTGTGTGACAGATGGCCTTAACAAATCTTAGTTGAAGTGTTGATTTATTTTAGCGCCTTTAAAAATAAATTATCCCTCTTACAAAAGATTGAATTGTGTTTAAACCACGGCTAGCGCGTAGAACAAAAGACTCGGCCGTGCTGTATTCGACATACAAGCACGTCATGTACGAGTGCGTTCCACGGTCTTGTAAAGACTGTATCCTAATTAGGGTATTTGAAAATACATTCCACGGGGCTGATATCAAAACAAAAGGATTGCAGGGACCGATACAGTGAATGAGACCAAGAAGTTATAAAGAGAGTATTGTCTCTGTTAATACACACGCAACCACAAACCATTCACGCAAATGAAAATGATTGGACGGTGACCGCAATTAGGCAGTAAAGTCCATTCTTTGACCTCACCTTATGCGCGGTGATATCAGCGTGTTCTATTCAAAGTTAGGGGGTTTGGGTGGGGAACATGCACGATTTCCCTTTGTATGTATGGCAAATAGTGCACTGTTACCCCCTCGCCCCTCGTGTATATCGGGCTCGTGGACAGTGCATTATCTAGTACTTAATTAAAACTGTATTCCACCCTTGTTACATTGGATAACTCTGAACAGATAACAGATATCCGAGAAATCTAAGCAAATTGTACCTTAATTACATACTCGGAGTGCCACTCCGGTGGTTCCGAGGCTTGGGACGGCCAAGCTCTCTATAGTGGACAGAATCACTTATTAGCATAATTATTCATGACTTACCTGGTGGAGGAAATAGATAAAGTACTTAGATATTTAAATTACATTTTCATAGGGTATATTATCCGGGATATTTTCCCTCATGATAATTGAAGTGAAACTACTAGGGTATATGTAGTATCCAAGGACGGTGTGGGTCAAAATTTCTCTTTCTGGCAATGATGACACCGTTATCCTCAAACAAGGTTATGCAGAAAAAAACAAACAAACAAACAAACATACAAACATTATGATGGATGCCTCCCAAACTAGAGCCGATCGAGTTGATGGATTTATTTCCAAAGTGGGCTCGTTTCTCGGCGTATTAAAAAAATGCATGTGCTGCATCCAACATAACATGCTTCAATCACATTCTCTTGATTATCAACATTAAACTACATTATTGTAATATTGAGGTATTTTATACCAAATAACTGTAATTCTATTATTTACTTAAATATGCTTTACAGTGCTTATCAGATCTTTACACTGTCGCGAGATTCACCTGGTGGAAGCGTCTCGTAATCAAGATATAAAAGAAAGATTTGCCTGTCAACCGTCTGCAACTGTAAGTCAATCAGCCCACAGATATCATGTACCATTTCACACCCCAGACCCCATCACCTTCCTTGATACGCCACAGATATCATGTACCATTTCACACCCCCAGACCCCATCACCTTCCTTGATACGCCACGTGGCTAACCAGGACTACCTACAGATATCTAGGGTTACGATAAGGGTATAAGAGACTATCCCCACAGATATTTACATCGATCTATCCCCCTGGGGAGTCTCACTAGATTGCTGTCAGCTTAACCGGCTTAAATGTCTGTCCCGCCTACTAAAAGCTGTAAGGGGGTTATTAACTTTTGTGCGCGCTCGGCTCCCAGGAGGTGGCAGCAATTTAGCGTGAACCCCCAGGGAGTTAGGTCGATCCAGATGGATCGATCTAAATGTGTGGGAACCCAGTCTAGGGGAAATTGCCTGCGCCTTTCAAATTGAATTCATCCATTGTACAAAGCATGCAGACTTCATTTGTGTTTTGTCCACAGATCACAATATGGTCCCAGTCATGTGGGCCTTGGTTTTGATTTCGATTTTTTTCTTGCAATCAATTGAACAGATTAAGACGCATCGTTTCCAACGTACACGTATAAGTGCGTACTTTTCTGATTCTACTGAACGCCAGAGGAGACGTGTCGATCTGCATAACTGGTTGAATTCAGCGAGTGCCCGCGAAATTGGATCAATCCAAGTAGAACGATGGTTTCATTAGGGACGACCCCTAAGATTAAGGTCAAGGCTACATATAAGGACAGGTGGGGTTGGGTGGCGATGTTACCGACCACGTGTAACATGATACTAAAGTAATGCATCACCCAGCACCCGCTAGTTATATACGGTGCTTTTACAAATAACAAATGTTTTGACAGATTTACGTAGCTGACAGGCGAAATTGTGCTAGGTTTACCACTATGCATCCAAGAGGCCTCAGGCAAATCTAAACAGTTAAAACGTACACTGTACACGATTGAGAATTCCCCAAAGAGATATTTTTTTGTCTACATATCCTGCAATGCAACTATATCTCCTTATTCAGACCTTACAAACTTACCCCACCCCAAAAAAGGCACCTTACACTCCTCCTAAAACATACAGGAAGACTATGTTCAAAATTGTAATTTAGAGATAATTGAATTATAAATGAAATAAAACAGCAAATCTAAGAGCACGAACAGGTTAAAGTAATACTTTGTGAGTAGGAGAAATTTGCGCTTTTCCCCCAGGAGGGAAATTCGTTTTGGCAGGTTATTCTTGCATGAAGGACCTTTATGTTGGTATTTTCGTTTCTTTGATTTCCACTTTTATCTGGAAGAAATGGCCACCAACCCTTAACTCCACATCAATGCCGCCCAACCATCATTACACAAAGACCAATTTCATTAGGGAAAGACATTCAATCATTGCCAAATGTCATCCCCATCTTGCTAAGAGCATCTGCAGGTAAGCAAGTTTTTATATGCATTATGATGAAGATGACACTGAGCTGCTGGTTGCTTTTTATAACAAGATCATCAGACATTGTTAACTTCTCTATTTTATTAAAATAATACACTCCTAATCTAAACAGGCCACTCAGTATAAAAAAGAAATTATTTACAGTTTTTATACCTGGCTAATCATTTACCATATTTGCAAAGAACAGACTTCTGAACATTGATGAATTTTATGATGTGTTTCAGACACTTTGCTTGATATTGTCACTTGATGAGAATATATTCCGTATTATCCTAACAGTTAAGCATACGTCCATATGAATTTCCCTGCAAAACAACTGCTGACATATCGGGCAATAGCAGGAGAGAATGTTTATTTTAAACAGGTGCTGTCTCACTGCTCCTGCACATTCTTGTGAAAGGACCTTCCTTTTCATACCTAGCTATCAGCCAGCAGTTTATGTCAGTTTTTTTTCCCAGTTCACTATGCCATTGGTCATTCTACTGTCTGCACGGACTGTATCAATGTGATGTTGTCTCCTTTTAACAATATTCTTCCTGTAAGAAAAACATGAAAATTTATACAATTGAAATATTTCTAAATAGAAAATGCATCACCAAGGCAGAAGTATAGATGAACAATATTATAAATATATACTGGATTGCCAAAATTATGTTTAACATGAAATGCAGTGAAATAACATCTGAAAACCTGATGAGTTCATAAGAAAATTGCTTAGCAAATTGATCTCTTACCTAAAGGTTTTCTGTTTTTTGTCTTCATGTGAACCTCTTCCCCTTCATCCAGAACTAGATTCATGTATTCATCAAATCCCTAGAACACAAAACAACATGTTTATCACACCAAAATATAATTGTACAATTTCAAGAATGTAATGAAATCATATTTATGTTTTTTTTTTCTCTTTGATACAGGAGCAAGAGAGAGATAGCAATCAAATTGATAATATTACTATCCATAGACATTGTAGTGGATGTGAAATTATATCTAAGCACGATACACTGTTCATACTCTTTTCAGTGAAATATAAGATATTAAAAAGCATGTAACATTTCATTTTAATTCCTAGTTAATACCCCGTGAAACAATTGAGTAGTTTTGCAGCATCCCACCCAACCTTAAAAGACATTGGTTTTCAGTGTTTTGAACTAGTAGATGAATAGTCTTCGGTTCCTAAGTGAGGGGGGGTACAGTATAAGTTCCCATTAAGTATGCCATCTTACCACAATGCAGCCTTCTATCCTCAAGTTAACCTGATCATAAAGCCAGACCTGGATGCGTGATCTCTGTAAAACAAAGTTCAAAATTATGCTGTACTATAAAGACTGCCAGAGTAGTAGTTAAACGCCGTCTGTAAACAATGCAATACAAATACAATGCAACAATCACCATTATGTCAAGAATTTAAATTAAATCAAAAAGGTTACTTACGTTTTGCAGGTACCTAAAAATTAAATTCTGCAAATATGTTAAGGGCATAAGATTTCAAACGTTTGATAAAACTGACCGGATTAATGTTCTCATGGATTAGAACGATGGTTAACATGCCAAAGATATCTGATTGCGGAAATAACAAAATCGTACTCAAAACATATCTACCACCTAGTATTACCAACAACGGTGCAATATACTGAAGCATAAACTATTAACAAATTGAAGAGAAACAACAACAGAAAAGACCCTAATCATGCAATACCGTCAGGTGACTGAAGGTTTGTCAAAGCTTTAAGCTCGCCGGTAAAGTTTATCATTGATAATACTCCCTCCACAGCCAGTAAGGATACAATTGGCTGCACCATAACCTTCTGTACTTTCCCTCCTTTGTACGCCATTATTCTAACCTGCTTATGAGAAACAGGAAGCAAAAAATTTAAGAGCAAATCTTCGCGAAGACAAAGCTCCTTTCACACTGTAAATAAAAATGGCGGTAGACAACGAATGCTCCACGTGCGAGAAGTACGCATGCGTAGTTTGCCATTTACCGGAAACAATGTATTCCGCGAAATGACCTCTGTAATGATAGCTATATAATATCGCTTTTCAAGAACCATAACGAGACTTATAGCGCAATTCACGTAGTATCTCGTTGCAAACAACATACCATCATGGCGGTTTGTTTGGTTGGACACCTAGTAAGACACCACTAAAACTGCATGACACTAACAAGGCACATCTCAGATACCTAAACTGGTAAGTATTTTTTTTCTGCCTTGCAGTGGTGTGGCAAGAAACCTGTTATTTTTTTCGTGCTGATGATGTTTTGACGCTGAAAGTTTTGTGGTGCTGCAACCGAGTGATGATTGAGACAGCGTACTAGTACTGTACTAGTACTGTTAGACTGGGTTCCCATACCTAAATCGATCTAACAGAATCGACCCATCTCCGATGGGGTTTGTCGCTAAATTTGTCTCAGCTTAAGCTGCTTAGATGTCTGGCACGTTTACTGAAGCTGCTTAACGATAATTAATTACCCTCTGGCAGCTTCAGTAGGCGTGACAGACATCTAATTAAGCCACTTAACGGCCATTCCACGAAAAGGGGTACAATTCTAATACAAGAAATGCAGTGATATGAACTTTGCAAAACTGGAAAACTTTTTATATTATTTTGATGAAGAGGTATTCAGAGAGTAGTAGAAGAATTTTAACCCACACCATTACTGTATTTAAAGAAATATGCACGTGTAAACATGGTACAGTATATTTTTCGTTACGGAGGTTAGGTAACATCTAAATTAGGTTATATTTCAATCATGCCAAAGGTCACAGGCTCCATATTTGATTCAATTATTAAGATTTTGTATGTATTCAAAATATTATTGCCCATTTAAGATTTCTCTTCAATTATAGAAAATGCGGTGCAAACACATTGGTAATAAGTGGCTCGTTTTCTATAAATACAAAGCCTGAGATATTCCAATTTAAATATTTTATTAATTGTTGGGGACAGACTTGCTTTTTATCATACTATTTGTTTATGAACAAAGTGCTATCAATCTATTATGATATGAGCATTGATCAATGAGCACACACATATCCAATGTTCAGATAAAAAATGAGTAATTTCGTAACGGAGGTTAGGTCATTCTACATAGGTCAGCGATCATATTTGTTTTGATATTTTTAGCTTAAAATAGACTTTAGAAGTTGAATTCGGAATTTATAGTATTACAGATACGACAAATTTACATGAATAACATAGAAAAATTGATAAAACATGTTTATTTAAACCAATAAATGGCAAATGGTTACAACGGGTTGTTTTGCTTACTTTCAGGGACTACATAAATACATTTACCACTACTGGATACATTTCACTGCTAATATGTTGATCTATGTATCTGTAGAATTCACATTCCATATTTTACCATAGTAAGAGTTTAATTTATAATCTTAGTAACAGAGGTAAGGTAAAACTCTAGTCTAAATTATGTCATACATTTAAACCATTCAAAATCTTTCACAAGAAAAGCTTCGCGGTCATTAGATTTTTTTTCTTTCTCTGTAGTGTTTTTGTCGCTCTGTATTTGTAAGTGGCATATTGGTGTCTGTATAACAAAACACTAAACCTACATGTACATGATCGCAGCTATATGCAATAAAAAACAACACAATACCCGAGAAAGTTAATGTATACAATCAAGTAGGCCGACAATAAACACGTGTTTGCGGATAACTGTCCATTTAAAGTTACTGGAAGCATCTAGAAGATGATAAAAACTATTATGTGCTACTGAAATAGTAAAATAGGACCTAATAATCCTGCAGTTCTACCTGATAAGTATAACTGTTGCTTCAATGCTTAATATATTTCGCCATATGTCTCCCGCGAAAATAATGTCTGCTACATGCACGGTAGTACTGATGTCAGCTAGTACCATTTTTCTTGCCAAGACAGTCCTGAAAACTACTCATTTCGCTTAAAATCAGAATGATAAGTTCAAAAAGGCATCGTCAAGTGGCAAATGGAAATCAATTCGATAAAACAAATCACGATTTACCCTCGATTTTATAGCAAACTGGAGTAAAAACTTAAATGATAAGCCTTTCTTGATAGAATTATCAGCTATATATGTATATTTTATATCTATATTAATACGGGGTAATGTCTTTAACAGCAAGAGGTATGAATGCATACTACATCAGAACATAGAAGTAGAACTACTTATGTGATCAGAATTAACTCACAAAACCACAGAAATAACGTTTTAAAGTATTAGCAGTCATTTTTATAACAATTAACTTATTTCGTAACGGAGGTTAGCATAACGGACATAAGGTGACACGCATTCTTTTTCAGTTTTTATCCTCGGGATAACTTTGCATAACTATTGAATGGATTTTTTAGGAAGAAGTTGGTCCTTGCTTAACAAAAATGATGTTTTAAACTTTCTAAAGCAACATTTTCTTCAAATTTGGTCCGTTACTGAGGTTAGGCTCTTAAATGCAACACCCCGACTTTTGTGAGTTAACATTTTCTATGATGGAACGCATCATTCAAAATTAACAAATAGCACTGTTTTATTAAACTTCATGTATTATGAGTTTGAAAAATGCACAGGAAGGCCATTTAAGGGCATTTTCTTTTATTCTTACATTGACTTGAAAAAGCGTTACGGAGGTTAGGGGTTACTGAGCAACATTGATTAAACTATGACAGTGATGTAACTAACCAACAAATTCGACAGAGAACACCATGTATGATAAAAAGAAACATGAATTCAAATTAGTTGAGGACTAAAAACACTAAAACACTGGAAAATATAAACTTTTTCTTGTGGCAAATCAGCTATAATACCGAAGCGACATGTCGAAATCGTGCTTTTTGCGGCATATAGACCCCCGGGGTTCCCGTCAAAGCAAGTGTTACTATATTAATTATTGTTTTTTAAGTAGAACACTTCGGGTCCTGCTAAAAAAGGCTAAAAAAAGCAAAATTGCAGATGCTTTTACTACCGAAAATAAGCTGCGACAGGTAATATTATTCAGAATTGTACCCTTTTTCGTGGAATGGCTGTTAAATTGATTGCGATTCAGCAAGAATCCCATCGGAGATAGTTCGAAACACAGTTAGTACAAGAGCCTTTAGAGGGTTTGGGAATGGTCCCTTAGTAGTGTTACTCTTGCAATGGCAGCTCAAAATGATATCTGTTTGTCTGCATCATATCTCACAAAATGGTTAGACATGCATAGGAAAGTGCCAGGCTCATTTATTGTTACCCAATTCTGTCTGCATGTCTTTATACATCATGTTTTTAAGTATGCAGATTTTTAGTACTAATTAAGTAGTATATGTATCACAAGGTGGAATTTTTATTATTTTATAATTATTTTCATTGTTTCAGTATAATCTGTACATCGGCACAATGAGTTCAAGAAGGCCAGGTAGTGGCAGGCCACAAAGCAGATTTAACCCAATAACGGTTTGTGTGATAGCACATATTAGTTTGAATCTTGTTTTTTCACTAAAATGATATTTAATCATGCTGAAGATGTTGTTATTTTCCTGCCTTTGACTGATTAAACTCATTAATCTGACATAGGAAAATCAAAATACACGCCACAGAATGAAGACCTACAAAATATTTATTTAATGCACAAATTTCAGTACTGTCATGATAGCCAACTCATTGAAATTATATATGTAATTATACATGAAGGGTGAAGAAACCCCTCCACCAGAGAGGTATGTGGACAGTAGGGCAGCTTTTAGACCCGGAAGCAGGCCAGATAGCAGACCTCAAGAGTGAGTCCACTGTGCTATAGCAATTACCATATAATCTTTGTAATGCATTTTATAATTTAAGTAAAACATATCCCTACATTTACTATAATAGATTTGTTAAAAATTTTTAAAAAGCGTGGTATTTTGTCTGTATTGAATGTGCTACATCATTTTGAAGGGTTCCACGTCTAGAGCTTGGTAGGCTTGAGGATGCCGATGCACATCACAGACCACCATATCAACACTATGACTACAAGCTAGATACACCAAACACTGCTTCTACTGTAAGGTAACTGTTTGGTTTTCTCATATTGAAATATTGCTAGGAAGACAAAAGAGTCATTGTTCTCTTATTTGATAGAGTTGTGATATTAATTTGTACCCATCCCATGGGAATATGTGACAATTTGGGAAATGACATGTACTTGTGGGATTTGAAAGTTGGCAGGAGGGGAGATATTCTTATTGTCTTATGTGACAACTCAGAAAACTGATAGATTAGGATTTTTGGTCTGAATTAGGAGGTATGGGAAAAATTTCCCTAATATGAAAGATCCAAAGAAAATCAGGAAATTTGACAGGTCTGTTCATCCTCTTCATATTGTTGTCAGTGTCTCAGTATTTTTCAATAAATCAGAACTGCTACATTAGTTCATTGATTCACTCATTAAAAGTACATTTTTACCTTTAACTATTGTGCATGACCACCGTTAATTTCAGTTGGGGCACACCTGTTCCATCAGAGAGAGAAAACTTTTATTATGGGGGTGCAGGAGATTCATATCCTCAAACTATACAGACACCAAGAATGGTAAGTACATGCCTTTTTATGTATGTAATTGAAATATTAGATGTAATGTGCATAGTAGGCACAAACTTTAGGGTTTTAGTTTTTGATATCATTGAATACAATTTTTAATGTAAAAATAAGTGGCAGTTTTATAAAGCATTTAAGTATTCTTAAACTAGGAGGCTGGAAAGCACAGTAAGAGACACGACGAAGTCCCAGTTGTTGATGTGAAGCAAAAGACAGTAAGTTGGAAGTCTTTATGTTGAAAATGAGACATGAAAGAAAGGTACATTTCCTATTTTAAAATTTGCCTTATACTTTGGTAAAGCATGATATTAAGATGCTTTGTGTTTGGTTCACTACATCACCTGTTGATGTCACACAATAGCAGTACTTGTGAATGAAATGAAGTGTTGCAAAGATATAGTTTTTCATTCAGGGAAAATGATTTTCTATTTATTTCTAGGTTCCTCCGTCATCTGACAGACTTTATAAAGAGTATGGAAAAGAATTGCTTGAAGCATATAACCAGTCCCACATAGTTCAAGAGAAAGTGCACAAACACATGACAAAGGTGAACATTTTTAAATTTTATGTAAGATTCAATATCTATAATGATTCTTTTTTAATTCAGAGTAGATGTAATATTACAAGAGAGTGAAACTATGAAAATCATAGTCGACATTTTTTGGCCAATTCTCAGCCAACATTGTCATCCATTAAAATCAACAGATGAAGAAACAAGCAAGGTTTGATTGTAGTAACTGTAAACATTTATATATCCCATAAAGCAGTGCAACCAGTGGCCCAGCTCTGAGTCTCCAGCTGTCACTGACCATAGGGATACATTGAATAAGATATGGACTGATGGTGACATTAGATCCAAGAAATTTTTAATCAAAAAACAAAATGCAGTAGGTCTGAAGTTAGATTCATACACTTAACTGTTATGATTAATATTTGTCAGTTTGTAAAACTTGTTGTTTTGGAGAACTTTGGATGCATTGTTCTTTATGTTGAGCTGAAATTAATAGCCTTGGTCTTCTGTGTTCATTTGTCGTTTAAGTTGCTTATACTTAACAAAATATATTGAAAATTAATAAAATCATAGCTTTTTGATTATTTTGATACCTGTTTGCCAAATCTTACTTTAAAAGCAAAATAGTTCTCAACAATAACAAAGGCAGCTCCCAGGACGTGAAGGAGGGGGCTTTATTTTATCTTTCATTTAAAAGTTACAAAGTAACAGATAAAGTGTGAACTCCTTTGTGACAAAAGTGAACAATTCAACCTGGAAAATATGATAAACATGACCCAGCAACTAACTTAGTTTTCATTTGTTGACAATAACAATATTAAATATTTTGCATATCATTTACCCAAATATGTTTGTTATCATTTTATCATTTGATATTTTTTCACTTAATTAAGCTCAAAGGATATTAGTTTTATATTTTTATTATTGATTTATGGCAACAAAGATGATACTGCAACAAGACCATCATGTTTTTAGTATAAATATCTACAAAAAGTAAAGAAGAATAGAGGTCTTATTTTATTATTAATGAGAAGATTGACATTTTGATTAAATTTTTTTCTCCACAGGAAGATGTTGAAGAGGAGAAGAAAAAACAAAAATTACTTGATACAGTTATGGTAGATCAGCTATCGAGGTAACAGGATACTTGATAATGGTGTTCCTTAACACAGCACTTTGTCTTTATTTATTGAATTATGTTCGTTTTGATGTTTTCATGCATTTTGTCTGCACTCAAGATTGTCATAATGCATATTATAGACGACGTTACGCATAAAATCACTGAATCATTTATTGTCTTATAGATAGCACAATTTGTTGCAGTTTCGTTATCACAATGAACACCTTATCTCGTTTGTCCGTTGTGTACATTGGACTCTTGTACAAATCTAAAAAAAATGAAAAAAAAAATGACATAAGTATGCGGTAAACAATAGACTCATAAAAACTAATATAAACAAACTACAGTATATACGTTAAATAAAAAGAAATACATTTTTGCTATTACTTACATTATATGCTATCTAGGGTGACTGACCGGTATGGTTGCTACATATGTACTGAATTCTCTATATATCTCAATACCACACACACCCGTAATCACGTGACTGATTAGTGTTCGTATTACAAAGAGTGACCACAAGGTCATGTGACTTGGCGCACTAACAATGCATCTGCATTAAAGGCAATGTCACAATATTCTTGGATTACAGCAGGTTATATTACAAACCCAGTATGTAGTAAAAGTCCATTATGGTCTTGACATCCAATTGTATTACATGCCTGAATGGATGGATCATTAGTTATCACCTCTGCTAAGGACAGATTTTGATAAACTTTTCAGGATGGGTCAGAAATGGGCTTACTTATAATTGATTAGACATTGGTGGTGACCCATTTATTGATTATTAATTATGAGATAAGATCTGTCTGGGAGAAGGTCTTCGGACTCTTAATCCTTTTCTAGTTATTTCCGTACCTCTTATTGTTTCAGGGCAGTTATCAGCGACCCTGACCAGGACCAGAACATTCCAGAAACTCCACCTCACCACCTCCCGGGGATGTCTAGGGGAGCCATCAGACACCTGCACGAGTCCAAGTAAGTCACCCTGAGCTTCAGAGCTAACTTGACACTAACCTCTTCACTGTAGCCTATCTTCATCGTGTCAAGTAACCTCTGACCAGATTCGATTGCCTCCGCCGCCCGCCATATCAAATTTAAAAGCCCGCACTCAATGACTCATTAAACGATCTAGCCAATGAACGCGAACGAGTCAAAGCGCGCTTTGTTCAAATCTGGACCAATCAAAGATAAGGCTGAATATCAGGGACTTGCTGTAACCTGTGGGCAGCACGCAAATAACATCGTCTCTCAGTAGATGATGATGCAGGGCCTCAAACTGCTAGACCCTATGGTTTCAATTCCGATTTACTCATATTTTGCAAAGAATCAAGAGATAACTTAACACATTCTTTTTCGTAGTCACTCGCCTTGCTTTCTTTGTGTACGGTAAT